AATGACTCCTGTGACAGAGCGAGGTTAGAAATGCGTGTCTTTCCCAGAGCGTGGTTGCGTTATGGTGACCACCAATCATACCATGATATAAATGGAGATCGCTTCCACAAATTGTGCTTCCCGTCACCTTGACGATGACATCCGCTTCGTCAATCACTCTAGGTTTAGGCATTTCGACTGTTGGTAAGGACCGTCGATGTCAGAGAGAAGTGAAATACTGCGCACGATCCTGGAGAACCCACCAACTTTGATGTTGTTTTTTCCTTGCCAGGTTGTCGCCTTGATTCTGGCACCCGTCTCCTGTCCATATTCATTTTTGGCATAATTGCTCACATCAGTTGTGACAGCTGCATTGTCTCCATGTCCAATGACCTTCTCCACGAGCCCTGCAGCTTGAGAGGCGGCCATGTTGAGTTCCTATCACGTGAAGATGTCCAAGATTGATTCTCGAGCTCGGTGTTTAGTCAGATATATGCTGTTCTTAACGATCGATTCCTTTCCATCATGATAAAAGTCTGCTGCATTGCAGTCTTCTTATATGAGTTGAGCGTGGCACTGACATCACCCCTTCGTCACGGCCGGGGGTCAACCTGGATTTCCTGAGGAGGACCGTTAAAATGCAGACTTACAGCGATCGATCGAGGTCTCGAGCGCCTTTCAATTGGCATGTCTGCCATAATCGCATGGCTCGTGATTAGCTCTGGTTCAGCGATGATAATAACGTTATTCGTACGAAAGTACTTTGACCGAGATGGTTCTCCGAGACCTCAACTGTAAACGGTGTCGATCATAATTCATAATTCATAACTACGGAATAAGACATGTGCGTCACCAGGCGATCATCATTCTTCGAGATGTTGCCACGAACAGACTTCAAGATAACTTTTGAAAAATATAGAACATTGTCGCATGTCGACCTGATCGAGGTAACTAGTTCATGTGCGGTTAGTTCGTTCAATCAATAACTGATGAGAGTCGCGCAACCGAGATGATGGCGACTGTATCCAGCGACTTGGCCTTTGTCTTGGCCTCGTCCACCGCATTGTCACTAGAGAAGACACAAGAATAAGATCCGAAATCTCACAACCTTCAGCAAACAAAGGCCACACTTTGCTTAACAATACCAGAGATTGCGCACGATGGTGATGGTGCGGTTTGTTTGAATAAATACCGAGTAGCTCTCGAGACTGAACCGCTCAAAACTCATTTTCGAAGAGGCTCCTCATCTTGTGCATTCTTTGCAACGTGGAATGGGACTATTCGGAGCTCTGTGCTTTGATAGATTTGCTTATCCTTTATCCCCGGGTTCTTCGTAACCGCGTGGTTCTCCATGCGCAATTGCCATGAAGAGACACCTCGATCGTCTGTTGCGTCACGTCCATACCAAAGAGAGACATCCACAATCCGATCCTCTTCCCGTCCAAGGTAGGCACGACTTTCATACATTCTTCCTCTCCTTGCCATGCCTGATAAGGCTCACAATGTTTGTTTTTGATTGCGTCTTGATCAAGATGTTGTCGCGTATGTCACTTTCAATATCTCCGAGTGAATGCGGACGGACTGCAGAAGCAAGTCTATCATGATCAGTTAGAGGACAGGCATCTCTTAGGGTTGTACCAAAATTGGTCGAATTCATTCACTTTATGAGCTGATTGCGGGGACAATATTCTCGAGTCTGTTTTCTGCTTCACGTCTTCGATGCCTGGAGTAGATTCAGGCAGTTGGACGAAGTGAATACTTCAGGCTCTTCTTGGTCAATTCACTGTTGCCTTTTTCATTCGGTCGTACTCAACGATTCTTCTCGTCTTTCCTTTTCCTCCTTTACCTTTCCTTCTATCTCCCCTTTCTCTTTCTTTCCCTATCCGAGTTTCTCCTACGTTTCTTGAACTTCAAAGCCCGGTTTTCATCCCCAAGATGATTCTCACGTACTTGGTTCTTATGCTGCTTGCAGTTTCCTCAGTCGTGTCTCAGTATCCTGTCGAAGACCAGAGCGTCTTCGCCCATTTTATTGTGAGACTGCTCTCCCAGAGATTCATAACTTGATATTGAGTACTGACGCTTCTAGGTTGGAAATGCGGCGGCCATGACACCCGCCCAATGGGAGTCGGACATCATAGAGGCTCAGAAGGCTCATATTGATGGCTTCGCATTGAACATCGCACCCCAGGACGACTACACTGATAGAGTGCTCCAAGTCGCATATGATACCGCTGAGAGAGTGGGCAACTTCTCTCTGTTCCTCTCGTTCGACTACTTGTCCGGTGGACCATGGCCGGCAGATCGAGTCATAAAGACCATCAACGCATTCAAGGACCGACCTGCACAGTTTTACTTCAGGGACAAGCCCTTGGTGTCAACCTTTGAGGGTGTAGGCAACACAGGTGACTGGCCAAATATCAAGGCAGCAACTGGATGCATGTTCATTCCGTGCTGGACGAGCCTGGGCCCAACGGGCATCCTCGGTGTCTTAGACATTATTGACGGTGCTTTCAGCTGGGACGCCTGGCCCGTCGGAGCCCAGGACAAGGACACGGCCAGTGATGAGGCATGGATAAGTGCGCTTGCGGGGAAGCCGTATATGCTGCCCGTGGCTCCTTGGTTCTACACCAATCTCCCGCAGTGGCATAAGAATTGGCTATGGCGCGGTGACGACCTATGGCATTACCGCTGGCGCCAGATCATGGATTTACAGCCGCCTATCGTCCAGGTAAATTCCCTTCAGTCGGATATGTTCATCGACTGCTTGCTCTAACGATATACTGGCTCAGATCCTCAGTTGGAACGATTATGGAGAAACACACTATATCGGACCGATCCATGAAGAGGGCGTGCCTGGGGGAGCTTTACGTTATGTCTCCGGGCATCCTCATGACGCGTGGCGCACCTTCCTGCCTCACTACATTGATGCATACAGACGGAACAGTCCAACATGCCAGCGAAGCTCATGCAGATTTTCCACACTTTCCAAAGCCCAGTACCCCATCTCGTTTGCGGATAAAATCGTGTACTGGTACCGTTTGAATCCCAGTGGCTCGGGTAGCGCCGATGGAACCACTGGTAACAATCCGGCCATGGGCCAGCCCGCAATGCACCCCCAAGAAATTGCTCAGGATCGAGTCTTTGTCAGTGCCTTTGTCCCGGAACCGAGCGATTTGTACGTCCAAATCGGCGAGAATCCTCCAACAGTCCTTAGTGCACAAGCTTCGGTTATCAACCACTTTTCAGTGCCCTTTGATGGACAGACGGGTTGTGTGAAATTTGCCATTATCCGTGACCAAGAGGAAAAGGCTTCGGCCGTGGGACCAGAAATCACGAACCAGTGTAGACAGAACAATGTGGACTGGAACGCCTATGTGGGGTCGAGTGACTAGGGATTGGGGAACGCAGCAGTCGGTGACAGATTTGCATATTCATGTCAATATTATGAATTGATATATTTATCCCATTGGTCGTAGTCACTCCTCAACAATCAATGTCAAAATGGCGACTAACTGCCTCACCGGCAGGCTTCGTCTGAGGGTAATTGTGAGATTTGGTGTCTTCTTGAGAGAACTGACTACTATGCTGCATATAAAAGTAGATTAGAATTTCACATATGCTAATCATGAATAAGAGTTAGTCGATGTGCTAAGAACAAGCCTAATTAACAGTTGGGTGACAGTCTGAAATACACAATCCTCAGAATAAAGCCAGCAGCTGAAAGCAGTCATACTCTCACATGTTCTCCTCCTTATTACTATTTGCACCATCATATCCGCGAGCTCATCTGTAAGCTCTGAAACATACCTTCTATCTCCTTCAGATGTTATTCAAGTCAAGACTGGTATTCTGATTCCCCTCCCTTATACACAAGACGGGGTCCCCTACATATTGGAAACCTGCAGCTCTACCTCACGAAGCCACACACTGGATTTGCCGGGCCCAAATTTCCCAATGAATGGCATGTGAACTTCCATGTTGACAGAGAGAAAACCTCCGTCAGCTGTTGGCTGGACGCAGGCTGTTAACCTGCAATTAAGGCCAGGAGTGAGTGCAAGTAAGAATTTTGTGGCTAGTCTGTTAAAAAGCACAGATTTTATTGCTGCTTGGCGCAGTAATTATTGCTCTAATTATCACTTAGCAGGGGTTACTAGCTGGCTGGGCTGGGTGTTATTACTCTCACATAACTAGATTTTTCATTAGCTATAAATTACTGGGCTTTTACAGAAAGTGACTTTCACCTGAAGGGTTGTTGGCCTATCTTCACTAGAAGGTAATTCAGATAGTCGCACCTAAACTATAGTAGCGTCTTTGATTTTCTGTTCTACTAGTTACTTCATATAATACAGTCAGCTCACTAAGGGTCCTAACCACATAGAAGGAAACTCAGGACTATCATCTTTATGTTACCCACGTCCTGATGAACCTTCTTAATGTTAGTAGGTTTCACCCCAAGTATCTTGACTCATCTAATTCTGGTCAGCTGTGCAATGCTGATTGATGTCTGTTAGGCATTTGCATCCAGGAGACCAGCTGTATATACAGTACCTGCCAGAAATCAAGTCACCACACAAGACACTGATATTTGTTTCTAAATGAGCGGTATACCCTCAGAGCAATCTGACATTAATGATCTGGAGTGATGAGAGTTTTACGCTCATTTAGAGGACTCAAAATCATACTCCACATTCATGATCACCCTGGTGGTATGGAGTGTTACCTGGCACAACCCATTTAGTATCCCTCACGAGTGATGTGATGTCCGGATACGGGGTACCCCGGAATCGGATAAGGTAGATACATAGTCTCCAGGCACCTTTTCCTTATCAGGCTTTGAGGCGCCGCTATCAGCTGTCAGCTGACCCGCCTCGTCACCAATAAGTGGAGTCATGCTGACCTTCTCCAACTGGCTGTCAACAAAGTGCTCGCTGCTCCCTCTTTGCTCAATTGCATTCTTCTCAATTATAGTCTGTCGTTTATTGGTCTACTAGAGCTCTGCCCATCTGTTGTTGCAGGTCAAAATGACAAAGAAGAGCGTCTTTGATCTTCGTGATTCGAACATGGCCTATCGCCTGTCTGGCCAGCTCCCCGGTCCATCGCCTGTGTACGCTCCCAGCACAGCACCTTCTCAGACGACGACCACAACCTCATTTCCTCCTGCAGATTATGCCCAGCCTTACTGTGACTTTATGACTGCGCATCCCACCATCTTCCACGCCGTCGACGGTTTCACAAAGGAGCTCGAAAGCAAAGGTTACAAGCGCCTACCTGAGCGTGAGGCCTGGACGTCGAAGCTACAACGTGGTGGGAAGTACTATTGCACCCGGAATGGTAGTGCGTTTATTGCATTCTCTGTGGGAAAGGATTACCAGAGTGGAAACGGCTTGGCTATTGTGGCAGGCCACATCGATGCCTTGACCGCCAGATTGAAGCCTGTCTCTAAGCTTCCTACCAAGGCTGGATTCGTCCAGCTGGGTGTTGCGCCGTATGCGGGCGGCCTCAATGAGACATGGTGGGATCGCGACCTGTCAATCGGCGGTCGTGTTTTGGTCCGGGACCCCACTTCCGGGAAGGTAGAGTCGAAATTGGTCAAGCTGGACTGGCCAATTGCTCGGATTCCTACTCTGGCTCCTCATTTCGGCGCTCCTTCGCAAGGGCCCTTCAACAAGGAGACGCAGATGGTCCCTATAGTTGGTATCGACAACTCTGATCTCTTCCAGCAGCAAGTGTCACCTACGGCCCACTCGAGTAGTGGTATCAAGCCCGGGTCGTTTGCGGCAACCCAACCAGAGAGATTGGTCAAGATCATTTCAAAGGAGCTGGGGATCACCGATTATGATACAATTCTGAGCTGGGAGCTGGAGCTCTATGATAGTCAACCAGCTCGCCTTGGTGGCTTAGAGAAGGATCTTATCTTCGCAGGTCGCATCGACGACAAGTTGTGCTGCTACGCCGCTCAGCAGGCGCTGCTGTCTTCTTCAGACGACACATCGACTGGGTCAATTAAGATGGTTGGCATGTTTGACGACGAGGAGATAGGCAGCTTGTTGCGCCAGGGCGCCAGATCCAACTTTATGAGCAGCGTCGTTGAACGCATCACGGAAGCCTTTGCATCGTCCAACTACGGACCCAATCTTCTCTCCCAGACCGTGGCCAACAGCTTCTTCGTTTCCTCAGATGTCATTCACGCTGTCAACCCTAACTTTCTGAGCGTCTACCTGGAGAACCATGCCCCGCGCCTCAACGTGGGCGTGGCCGTCTCCGCCGATTCGAACGGCCACATGACGACTGATAGTGTCAGTTACGGCTTCATCAAGCGGGTTGCCGACCGATGCGGTTCTACTTTGCAGGTGTTCCACATCCGCAACGATTCTCGCAGCGGAGGAACCATCGGACCCATGACCAGCGCTCGGATCGGCATGAGGGCTATCGACGTAGGAATCCCGCAACTGAGTATGCATAGCATTCGCGCCACTACGGGTAGCTTAGATCCTGGCCTGGGCGTTAAACTGTTCAAGGGCTTCTTTGACCACTTTGAGGACGTCGACAAGGAGTTTGCCGACTTTTAGATTTCTGTTTTTTCCGCGATTCTTTCCATTGGGGTATAGACACGTCTGTTTCGGTTGCGATCGTCTCATATGCTAGACTACACTTCCTCCCTTTAAGAGCTCGCTTTTTTGGCTATGTTTTTCTGTGCTTTGTGTTGGGCTTGTCGACCAATAACCCGATATCCATCGCCTAATTCCTTGTTATCTCTATGCTCATGATTGTTGCCTCCTATCTTTTATTCATCTTCGTCACATGCTCCAGGTGGTTGGTATTAAGCGAGGCTTTTATGTGCCGATGTGCTTACTTGGGGCAGACCAAGACACATATCTAACTGCGGTCTGCTGCATCTGATTGTGTTCTTTAGCTGTAGTAGCAATAGGAAGACTTTAGCACCTGATGATGCGCACTTATCGTTCGCTGTGAACGTTATCACCTCGCCTCTGTGCGGCAGTATATCAACATTCTTCAATGCTACAGTAGTATAATCGACGCATTTGGTAGCAGTTTGACTGGCCCTGGTATGCAAGTACATAGGTGATCGGGGGCTCAATTGATCCTAGTGCCAGCTGGTAGCATCCTGAGTTTGATGCCAATGGATTGGTCTCGGTCATCTGAGAAATGGCTAGTCGAATGATAGTGGGCGCGTGCCTGTTTAGTTCAATACTGATCCATTATTGGGAGTCGCTGAACGGAGAACCTCTGCCAGTTGACGAACTGATAAGACCGCGCTAAGATAAGTATAACGCACAGACCAGCCAAAAATTCCAGCGACACCAGCAACAAGGTTCGCAACCTTCACCAATCGTCAATCTGCCCCTGTCTGTGCACTTGCCAGTATTTCATTTCTCTTTGGTTCTGCGATCTATTCTTAAAAACGATGGCAGACTCATCAAGCCCATCTAAGCCGGTTCACACGATCATTCTTGATGCCGGTCCCATCTTGAAGAATACCCCGCCTCTGTCCACATTGCTCACACAGTGCGAGGAACTCCTCATTACTCCGTCCGTCGTCCGTGAGATCCGCGACCCTGATGCTCGCTTGCGAGTGGAGACACTTTACTTGCCCTTTCTCAAACAGCGAACACCCTCGCCAAAGAGTGTCAGCGTGATCAGCGAATTCGCTCGAAAAACTGGTGATAGAGCCGTGCTCAGTAAAACCGATCTCGAGGTTCTGGCGCTCGCATATGAAGTCGAATGTGAGAGAAACGGCGGTGACTGGAGACTGAGAAGTACTCCTGGCCAAAAACAGGTAAACGGCAAGCCGCCGGTGAAGGAGGAAAAGAAAGTGGAAGAGCCCGAGCAGACGAACATCGCAGAAACAACAGAGACAATAGAGACGACCGATGCGGCAGATGCGGCAGATGCGACAGAGTCTTCGAAGGTGCCAGAGGTTGACAGCGTTGCGGAGGATTTGAGCAAGACTACACTTGAAAACGATGCCGGTGCCACCGACGAGCCTGCCCAATCTACGGAAGACGCTGAGACTCCAGAGACCGCACAGGCCGATGAGGACGGTGAAGAAGGTGCCAACGTTGAAACCGAAGGCGGGGACGATGATGGCTCTGATTCTGATGGTGGCTGGATTACGCCTTCCAATCTGAAGAAGCGACAAGCCCTTGATGAGTCGATCTCAGCGTCTGCAGCACCCGAGCCAAAGGTTATGCAGGTCGCAACCATGACCACTGATTTTGCGGTAGGTTCGGAAGACTGTGATAAGCGGTTGAAACCTTGCATTGAAATCAATACTGATCATCATCATATAGTGCCAAAATGTTCTGCTTCAGATGAACCTTAACCTGCTGTCTACAACTACCCTTCAGAGGATCCGACATCTCAAGTCCTTCATCAAACGTTGTCACGGTTGTTTCTTCACCACCAAAGACATGACCAAGCAGTTCTGCCCGCGCTGCGGTAAAGATACCCTCACTCGTGTATCTTGCACCACAGATGCAAACGGACAATTCAAGATGCATCTGAAGAAGAATATGCAATGGAACAATAGAGGCAACCGATACAGCATTCCCAAGCCTACCCACGGCAGCGCTAGTGGAAAGTGGAAAGGCGGCGGCGGAAAGGAGGGATGGGGAACAGAGCTCATCCTTGCCGAAGACCAGAAGGAATTTGTCAGAGCATCGGTGGAGGAGAGTCGAAGACTCCGAAAGGAGCGAGACTTGATGGATGAGGATTACTTACCGGGAATTCTCACTGGCGAACGAAGCAAGCATGGCGGTAGGCCTAAAGTCGGCGCTGGAAGGAATGTCAACGCAAGGCGGCGATAATTGTTTCGCAACTTCCTTGCCATCCCATATATAGTACCTTTGCATCTATGGTGAGATTGGGATCTCGACAAGATTTAACGGATTTCTTCTGTCAATACTCGTGTTCTGCCCTTTGGCTGGTCATCGGCGGTATCGGCGGTATCGTTGGTTGGCATGCAAAAAGTGATTGTGATTTTGGCTGTACATTTTCACTACGACATGTTTATAAAGTTTTCTAGGACATCTACGACGGAATGAACATATAGACAAGTTTCATCAAGCAAAATGTGCGTACTCTTTGGACGCACATATTGTCCGACGATGACATCTCTTCGTATGAGCAGTGTCTTATCTAAAAGAGCAAGAAGTAAACGACATTTTCCGACCTCGAAGATCGCACAATAACACCATTCGCCCATAAATGACTCGAAAACACCCTTGTATATCAACTCAGATTGCTCCTATTCATCCCCTTATCACAGCGCCGCGTTCGTCTTCTCTGTTGAATTTGTTAGTTTCTCGAGTTGATGACGTTTCAAAAAAAGATTCGTACCAGGCTGCTGGGTCAGCAAGAGGCCATATCTCCGCTTGAGGGTGACACGGTGTCTGTTCGTTGAAGTTATAAGATTAGCTCAATCCCTTTCCTTTTACACCGGCGGTATCAATCTCTGATTCGAGGACTCACCTGGAGTACTTGTCATCTGGCGAAAACCGGGCAGGGTGGGCAGACTTGGTAACTTCGCCGTTCTGTGATTCGGATTCGTGGTTAGCGTCAGTCGGACACGCCTAATGGTAAAGATGCACTCACCAGGACCTTCTTGAGGGTGTACACCCTCTTGCCATCCTTGTCGAGAACATACTAGCAAACGATTCGTGTCAGAATAGCACCATCCTCTGCGCGACGAGACTGATGTCCGTTGTAACGTACCATAAGATGCATCCTGTTCCACAGTCAGTCACTTAGAGACAATAGGAAAAAGAAATCTCGCAGGGGCGAGAAGAGCCAAACTCACTTGAATTGATGATTATTGAATAAGGCTTAAAAGCAGTTCTAGGGATAATTAAATTATGATCGATAGCTGCCTCGACACTTTACCCTCGTGATAATTCGAATCGATAAAGTGGAGGAATTTTTTTTGTCGGAGAGTATGGAGCTCAGGCCAATGAGAGTTTGCTTAGTCATTCCGACTACACTTTTAATTGCGTCGACGCCGAACCGAATTTTATCTTTCCTCTTTCCAACTTCAAGCTTAACGCACATCAACCAAATGGCAACGATAATATGATGATCATTGCTCATACTAGGATTCCAACATGATGTCGATGGAGTCCTTGGGTTAGTTGCCAGTCTCTCTGCGAAAGCCTCATGATATCTTCGTTGCCCTCCCACAACACTAGGTGTCCAGAAAACCGTCTTTTCTGGTAAGCAATAACTACTCTGGTCAACACTAGAAGGGGTATATATCTGTTCTCTCCGGTGATGACACCATTCAAGCTTAGGCAATGGCACTTTGATTTCTAGCTGTTGTCAGTGAATGCTTGTTTTTGACTACAACGGTATCTGAGGAGAAGAACTTGTTCACCTGCTTTGTGTTGGCGAAGAGAATTTGCGATGGAAAGCTTCGAGCTGACTCTTCGCTTTGTAGATAGAAATCTTAAATTGGATATAGTGTAATTGAATCAAAATCTCCGTTAATCATGGCCTCTTCGTCCACATCAATCCCTAATTCACCTGCTGAGCTCCCTGGATCTCCCGCCAAATCCATGCCACACAATAATCCTCGTCCAGCTCATCGCTCCAGGCCTCCGAAGCCTAACTACAAGCACATCCACCGTTTTCCTCTTCCCCTCGACGTTCATCCTCTACCACCTCTCATTCCTCACAATCCTCTGTCGCTCATTAGTGTGGTGCTGTCTTACCTGACTTATTTTATCTCTCCACCTCACCAAGAAACCTATGCCGCCTACTTTGATTCTGCGACGTCCTCCGTCCATGTCACGGATGAAAGGGCTATTCAAGCCTTGTGGGAGATGGGATTCTTTGGAAAGGGCACTTTAAGCCGAAGTCAGCCTAGTTGGCTGGAACGGGAGAAGAAAAGGAGGGGCTTACTCGGTGGACAGACCAATGAAGAACTCACACGGCAGCGTAGAACAGAACGGCGTGAACTGAAACTCGAGAGAGCGAGGATGGAGAAGGTGGCAATTGAGCAGAGATTGAAGGCCGAAGCTGCGGCGCGTGAGAGTGGTGCTGCTACCGTCGACCAGACGACGACGACGCCGCTGCTCACAGACGGTGCTCCCGGTGGTACAGCCGTTACACTCGAAAAGTTCTCTCTCAGGAAAGCAAGAGAAGCTAGAATGCTCGAGTCACAGCGTTCCAAGAAGCAAGAAAACCACGGCCCGGCTTCCCCATCTCCTGGGCAAGAGTCTCCCAGCAAGGCAGTTCGCTTTTCACCTGTTGTTCAAGAGAAAGAATTTGTGTCAGGCTCGGCAATTCTACACCTTCCCGGGCCAGCTCCAGAGGCTCATGAGGCGTCACAGGAAGAGCGTGCCCTAAATAACGAGGAGCACTTACAGTTATCGAATGAAGAGGCTTTTTTCCTTGCTTACGGGCTTGGGGTTCTTCATGTCTACGATCATCAGCAGAAGAACATCATTCCTCCTACATCTTTACTCTCTTTTTTCTGTCACAACTCATACTACCCTCCACGTGATCCATCCGCAGTTCTGAACCCAGACGATCCTTTTATGATATCTTACATTGTCTATCATCACTTTCGATCCCTGGGCTGGGTTGTGCGCTCTGGGGTTAAATTTGGAGTGGATTATCTTCTGTACAACCGCGGGCCCGTGTTCTCCCACGCTGAGTTTGCGGTTGTAGTTATTCCTGCCTACGAGCACTCCTACTGGTCTGAAACGTCAGATAGGAGATCTTATTGTGCCACGAAGCAGACACGAAGTTGGTGGTGGCTGCATTGCGTGAATAGAGTCCAGGCGCAAGTTAAGAAGAGCTTGGTGGTATGCTACGTGGAAGTTCCACCGCCAAGCTCTCACGATTCGAAAAATCACACTGAGGACATCGGGGCTCTCCTTTCTCGATACAGGGTGCGGGAAATGCTAATTAGGCGGTGGGTTCCTAATCGCACGCGGGACTAACTTCGCTTCCGATACTGGCTCTATATCATTTGCTACATCGTAAATAGCCTGTTAGGCTTTCCGTCGGCGAAGATCGCTGCTCCTCGGTTTGCGAAGTGACCTCCTGTAACACCACTGTGAGACCAGATGGGGAGTTCCTTGTCGTCTCTGGACCGGTAATCTGGTTTTCGATCAGACTCTATCTTTGCATAGGCATTCAATTTTGGCGAATCACAAAATCCTTGTGTAGCCTGGGTTCGCGATGTAGTATAATTCTTTCGTGGAGCATCCGTTCTGATATACGTTCTATTCCTAAAACAGTAATATTACTTCTACAGTCACGTGGGGTTCGCGTTTCGCGTTTCTCTGGTTCTGTCCATGAAGCAAGGATGATAATGTTGATTGCACGCTTATATAGGATTTTATAACCTGATAGGGACAATAATGATTCACGTCTAGCATTTTAAGATTCTAAGGAGGGAATAAATAATGGAGACACAAGACGACAGCATCGACATTGTGCAACTGCAACGCGTCGCGCTGGGGCTAGTGAGTTGACACAGCGACTCAAGTGGCGTTCCTGACCTCGTCCGTACTAACACCAATCATCATTCGATAGGACCTTGCACCATCCCAGCTCCTGCTGGACGAATTGGAGACAATCGATTCTCCTCCTCCTAGGGTACCTGATGATAATAATCGCGAAAATAACCAAACCTCGGACTTTGCATCGTCCACTGACCGGGAAGTCGTTCGAAAGTTGCCGGCCAGGTCGATTCCTCGAGAAGAGCATGCTGCTGTACCTTTGAATGACCGGAAACGGTTGTCCGGGTCTAAAGACGCCCCGGAAAGTCCTCTACCCGTTGGACATACCGCGAAGATGGGTTCTATGGACGGTGTCCCGTCAGACACTCAGGTCGTTTCCCAGTCCGTGTTTGACGATATGATCAGACAAAACAAGGATGCTGCTAGGAATGCGTCCAACAGCAATATTGTGGAGGGGGCTACATTGATGACTTTGCACGAGGGTGACAGTGGCCATATAGATTTGTTGTCTGGGTTCGAGAACACATGTCCCGATATCATCAATGCCGAGGATAATGAAGAGCAAAACAGCTCCAAGTTAGGAGAATCATCGCCCATGCGCTACCAACCGGACCTCTTCCCTGAATCTCAGCGGTTCTTGACAAGCACGCCAGCGATAGCCTTCAAATTAGGCCAACCCGAGCGTTCCAACTCCGAGACCCCATGCGTTTCAAAGAATCCTCTCGCATCGGACATTCAATCAAGCGGCGGGATCATGGCACTGAGCCAGGTGTTCAAGGCAACACAGGCTCCGTCGTCTCCATTGGTTTATGGTCAGCAGCCCGACCTCATGTCCGACCGACCTTCTCCAAATCTCCCTATTCAAAGTCGTCCGGCAGCCACCGTGCTTTCTTCTCCACTGATGGCGCTGGCCGCCACCTTCCCACAAGACCGCTCCGAGACACCAATGGGCTACATCAGCATGAAAGAGTCTCAGGCAAGGCGTGACAGGATTTTGCAAGAAAGGATGACACGCTCTGCGGAGCACATGTATGCCGAGGATCAGAGCGATGGCGAGTTTGAAAAGGAACCTAGTTTTGTGGAGCGTATCATCCGCCAGAGAACGATCAATCAAGAAGCTTCGGCGCAGTTTGCTGGAGTCGCAGCCCCGGCAAGAGCGTCAAGCAGACGGCGAACCGGCGAAGAAACCACTTCTCCATCCAGCAAGTTGAAGCAACGAGATCAGCCAGACCTGCTGGGAAGCACTACCTCCTGTGCGGACCCTCACAAATTTGATACAGCGTCTCAATCGGGTGCAATTAGTGAAGCCGAAACTGAACGTGGTGGAGACTTGGCACGATCTCAACCTACTCAACAGGCTCCCAGTGTCTCGACGGAGGAAGACAAAGAGAATTGCAACGACGATTCAGAACATTGTCTTCCTATTACAGCTTCTGCGCATGACCGACTTTCTCAGGCACTTTCTCTACACGACAACTCAGTGCCCCAGGAGGATATTCAACTGTCTCGTAGTCCTGACCGAGAAGCAAGCGAGCCTAAAGCAATATCGGAAACTATGGTTGTGAAAGATTCTCAACAATCTCCTCGGCAAGAAGCCCATGGGCAGCAGGATAAGATTGTCACGAATAGTCCGTGGCATCACAGTGAACGGCCTCGTTCCCGGGTCCGATACCATGGTGATCCTTCTGACCGGGATAGGGTTACTTCATCCCCCACAAGGCCTTTAGCATTGCGCTCATCTCCGCCTCCCCCTCCCCCAGGATGTGAACTAGACCAAGTCCTACACCCGGGCCATCATAACCGCGCAACGACGCGTAGTCGGTCAAGCTCGGCGAGCTGTCACGACTCCTCCAGTCAGCTTCCAAGGGACGCATCCTCAGCCCAGGCAGTTGTGACAACGCAATCCAGCAATTCTGCCAGCCGAAAGGCCAAGGGAGCCGAACCCGAGAGTGCGAGAGTAGATCCTCGTGAAAAACCCTCCTCCATGCCCTCTCGCGTGGCTGAAACACCTGTGCCCCAGCGTCCGAGGAGCCTCGGCGATGTAATCCCGACGACGAGCATTCCCGAGACTAGTCCGAACACAATGCACAATCAGAGCTGGATAGACGATGTGGGTAACGACCCCATGGATAAAGAGGATGATGACCTGCCCCCTGCTTATCCTACTGACCAAGGGCGCTTCAGTCATTCTCAACCACTTGTTCCTGAGAGCTCGACCCCAGCTAGGCCTTTCTCCACTGCCAAAATACTCTCGAGCCC